ATAGTGAGAAACAGTGAGGACCAGAGTAGTGAGTAGCAGTGAGGACCAGAGTAGTGAGGAACAGTGAGGACCAGAGTAGTGAGGAACAGTGAAGACCAGAGTAGTGAGGAACAGTGAGAACCTGAGTAGTGAGGAACAGTGAGGATCAGAGTAGTGAGGAAAAATGAGGACCAGAGTAGTGAGGAACAGTGAGGACCAGAGTAGTGAGGAACAGTGAGAACCAGAGTAGTGACGAACATTGAGGACCAGAGTAGTGAGGAACAGTGAGAACCAGAGTAGTGAGGAACAGTGAGAACCAGAGTAGTGAGGAACAGTGAGGACCAGAGTAGTGAGGAACAGTGAGAACCAGAGTAGTGAGGAACAGTGAGAACCAGAGTAGTGAAGGAACAGTGAGAACAGAGGTAAGTGAGGAACAGTGAGAACCAGAGTAGTGAGGAACAGTGAGGACCAGAGTACTGAGGAACAGTGAGAACCAGAGTAGTGAGGAACAGTGAGAACCAGTGTAGTGAGGAACAGTGAGAACCAGAGTAGTGAGGAACAGTGAGAACCAGAGTAGTGAGGAACAGTGAGAACCAGAGTAGTGAGGAACAGTGAGAACCAGAGTATGAGGAACAGTGAGAACCAGAGTAGTGAGGAAACAGTGAGAACCAGGAGTAGTGAGGAACAGTGAGAACCAGAGTAGTGAGGAACAGTGAGAACCACAGTAGTGAGGAAGAGTGAGAACCAGAGTAGTGAGGAACAGTGAGAACCAGAGTAGTGAGGAACAGTGAGAACCAGAGTAGTGAGGAACAGTGAGAACCAGAGTAGTGAGGAACAGTGAGAACCAGAGTAGTGAGGAACGTGTGAACCAGAGTAGTGAGGAACAGTGAGAACCAGAGTAGTGAGGAACAGTGAGAACCAGAGTAGTGAGGAACAGTGAGAACCAGAGTAGTAGGAGGAACAGTGTGAGAACAGTGACAGGTAGTGAGGAACAGTGAGAACCAGAGTAGTGAGGAACAGTGAGAACCAGAGTAGTGAGGAACAGTGTGAACCAGAGTAGTGAGGAACAGTGAGAACCAGAGTAGTGAGGAACAGTGAGAACCAGAGTAGTGAGGAAGAGTGTGAACCAGAGTAGTGAGGAACAGTGAGAACCAGAGTAGTGAGGAACAGTGAGAACCAGAGTAGTGAGGAACAGTGAGAACCAGAGTAGTGAGCAACAGTGAGAACCAGAGTAGTGAGGAACAGTGTGAACCAGAGTAGTGAGGAACAGTGAGAACCAGAGTAGTGAGGAACAGTGTGAACCAGAGTAGTGAGGAACAGTGTGAACCAGAGTAGTGAGGAACAGTGAGAACCAGAGTAGTGAGGAACAGTGAGAACCAGAGTAGTGAGGAACAGTGTGAACCAGAGTAGTGAGGAACAGTGAGAACCAGAGTAGTGAGGAACAGTGAGAACCAGAGTAGTGAGGAACAGTGAGAACCAGAGTAGTGAGGAACAGTGAGAACCAGAGTAGTGAGGAACAGTGGAACCAGAGTAGTGAGGAACAGTGAGATGGAGAACCAGAGTAGTGAGGAACAGTGAGAACCAGAGTAGTGAGGAACAGTGAGAACCAGAGTAGTGAGGAACAGTGAGAACCAGAGTAGTGAGGAACAGTGAGAACCAGAGTAGTGAGGAAAACAGTTGAGAACCAGCAGTAGTGAGGAACAGTGTGAACCAGAGTAGTGAGGAACAGTGAGAACCAGAGTAGTGAGGAACAGTGGAACCAGAGTAGTGAGGAACAGTGTGAACCAGAGTAGTGAGGAACAGTGAGAACCAGAGATAGTGAGGAACAGTGAGAACCAGAGTAGTGAGGAACAGTGAGAACCAGAGTAGTGAGGAACAGTGAGAACCAGAGTAGTGAGGAACAGTGTGAACCAGAGTAGTGAGGAACAGTGAGAACCAGAGTAGTGAGGAACAGTGAGAACCAGAGTAGTGAGGAACAGTGTGAACCAGAGTAGTGAGGAACAGTGTGAACCAGAGTAGTGAGGAACAGTGAGAACCAGAGTAGTGAGGAACAGTGAGAACCAGAGTAGTGAGGAACAGTGAGAACCAGAGTAGTGAGGAACAGTGAGAACCAGAGTAGTGAGGAACAGTGAGAACCAGAGTAGTGAGGAACAGTGAGAACCAGAGTAGTGAGGAACAGTGAGAACCAGAGTAGTGAGGAACAGTGAGAACCAGAGTATTTGAGGAACAGTGAGAACCAGAGTAGTGAGGAACAGTGAGAACCAGAGTAGTGAGGAACAGTGTGAACCAGAGTAGTGAGGAACAGTGAGAACCAGAGTAGTGAGGAACAGTGTGAACCAGAGTAGTGAGGAACAGTGAGAACCAGAGTAGTGAGGAACAGTGAGAACCAGAGTAGTGAGGAACAGTGAGAACCAGAGTAGTGAGGAACAGTGAGAACCAGAGTAATGGGTAAATGTATCACATCACTGTACTGTAATTACTAGCATCACCTCACTATAGTGTCAGTACTGTGACTAACTACCGCATCACCTCACTATAGTGTCAGTACTGTGACTAACTACCGCATCACCTCACTATAGTGTCAGTACTTGACTAACTACCGCATCACCTCACTATAGTGTCAGTACTGTGACTAACTACTGCATCACCTCACTATAGTGTCAGTACTGTGACTAACTACCGCATCACCTCACTATAGTGTCAGTACTGTGACTAACTACTGCATCACCTCACTATAGTGTCAGTACTGTGACTACCGCATCACCTCACTATTGTGTCAGTACTGTGACTAACTACTGCATCACCTCACTATAGTGTCAGTACTGTGACTAACTACCGCATCACCTCACTATTGTATCAGTACTGTGACTAACTACTGCATCACCTCACTATAGTGTCAGTACTGTGACTAACTACCGCATCACCTCACTATAGTGTCAGTACTGTGACTAACTACCGCATCACCTCACTGTAGTGTCAGTACTTGACTAACTACCGCATCACCTCACTATAGTGTCAGTACTGTGACTAACTACTGCATCACCTCACTATAGTGTCAGTACTGTGACTAACTACCGCATCACCTCACTATAGTGTCAGTACTGTGACTAACTACTGCATCACCTCACTATTGTGTCAGTACTGTGACTAACTACTGCATCACCTCACTATAGTGTCAGTACTGTGACTAACTACTGCATCACCTCACTATAGTGTCAGTACTGTGACTAACTACCGCATCACCTCACTATAGTGTCAGTACTGTGACTAACTACTGCATCACCTCACTATAGTGTCAGTACTGTGACTACCGCATCACCTCACTATTGTGTCAGTACTGTGACTAACTACTGCATCACCTCACTATAGTGTCAGTACTGTGACTAACTACCGCATCACCTCACTATAGTGTCAGTACTTGACTAACTACCGCATCACCTCACTATAGTGTCAGTACTGTGACTAACTACTGCATCACCTCACTATAGTGTCAGTACTGTGACTAACTACCGCATCACCTCACTATAGTGTCAGTACTGTGACTAACTACTGCATCACCTCACTATTGTGTCAGTACTGTGACTAACTACTGCATCACCTCACTATAGTGTCAGTACTGTGACTAACTACTGCATCACCTCACTATAGTGTCAGTACTGTGACTAACTACCGCATCACCTCACTATAGTGTCAGTACTGTGACTAACTACTGCATCACCTCACAATAGTGTCAGTACTGTGACTACCGCATCACCTCACTATTGTGTCAGTACTGTGACTAACTACTGCATCACCTCACTATAGTGTCAGTACTGTGACTAACTGCTGCATCACCTCACTATAGTGTCAGTACTGTGACTAACTACTGCATCACCTCACTATAGTGTCAGTACTGTGACTAACTACTGCATCACCTCACTATAGTGTCAGTACTGTGACTAACTACTGCATCACCTCACTATAGTGTCAGTACTGTGACTAACTACTGCATCACATCACTATAGTGTCAGTACTGTGACTACCGCATCACCTCACTATTGTGTCAGTACTGTGAATAACTACTGCATCACCTCACTATTGTATCAGTACTGTGACTAACTACTGCATCACCTCACTATAGTGTCAGTACTGTGACTAACTACTGCATCACCTCACTAAAGTGTCACTACTGTGACTAACTACTGCATCACGTCACTATAGTGTCAGTACTGTGACTAACTACTGCATCACCTCACTAAAGTGTCACTACTGTGACTAACTACTGCATCACCTCACTATAGTGTCAGTACTGTGACTAACTACTGCATCACCTCACTATAGTGTCAGTACTGTGACTAACTACTGCATCACCTCACTATAGTGTCAGTACTGTGACTAACTACTGCATCAATCACACATTACTCAACAATTAGAATAAGAATTACTGCTCCGTGATTCTCTCTCATTATCTGCAGATTTTTCTCATTATCTCAATGATAATTAACTATAGGAGCCAAAATTGTCTTCATTGTAGTTTATTAATCACAGTTACTTAGGCTATTAATAAAGACTACTTAGTTGGGCTAGTTATATCCCTAATGAATTTCTAATCTGTTTACGTTTTTACTGTGCCGATGTTTCCTGTTAAATCTTGCTAAATATAGAGCAAAGAAGCACAGTACCGTGACTGGACCAATACACAAATAACGGGCACACAGGAGGTTTTAGATTCTGCCACCGAAGTGGCTGGTTTATTGTGCACCTCACATCCATCCTGTGGATGGTAGTGCACGAACATATGGATACACAACAGGCCTGGTAATTAGGCCCCAGAAGGATTAACGGGAGTACATTTGGATTTATATTTATAGTTTACTTATCTGTTACAAGCAAATGTGAAACGCTTAAGATGACTGTGTGACCTGTGAAGGGTCGAAGTCCGAAACGTCATTATAACCTTTCCTCTGTCTCCTTTGTGCGGTTTGTGTCTTGCTAATTGTGCTAATTGCCTGTCAGGTTAGTAATGAGCTTAGGTGGCTTACCTGAAGTGAGGACTCAACGCTTAGTGTGTTCTAGACAGCGTCGTTTGTTAGACGGAGCTCTCCCTGTGAGTGGGGCTGACACTCCTGTCGCTGCTGTCTTCCCAAGGACAGGCCAGAGTGGGTCCCAGGGTCCCAGCCTGCGTGGGCAGAGGCATGGGTAAGGCTTGAGCTCCAGGGCAGGCTGCAGAACCTGCCAGCCTGCACTTCCTGCCCAGGCTGAGGGTGTAGTGTGGGTAGGGCGGTGGCAGGGTGGGCAGGGTGGGCAGGTCGGAGGTGTAGGCCTCTGAAGTGTAGGGTTCCGTGGAGGGTCGGAAGTCTTGGGTATAGGAGCAGGGTATGGGCATGAAAGTCACGTCGCTTTGGTACGGCGGGGATCGCTGCGCCGCTTGCGCCACCATGTTTGTGCCATCGCAGGTGTAGGAATGCGGGATGGAGAGCGTGGAGAGGTGCGAGCTGTGATGGGCGTACAACGTGGGCGGGGAGGTGGTGGTTGTGGGCGTAGAGGCTGCCAGTGGACCGCCCACCATACCCAATGGCTGCTGGCTGCTCACCATACCCAATGGCTGCTGGCTGCCCACCATACCCAGTGGCTGCTGGCTGCCCACCATACCCAGTGGCTGCTGGCTGCCCACCATACCCAGTGGCTGCTGGCTGCCCACCATGCCCAGTGGCTGTTGGCTGCCCACCATACCCAGTGTCTGCTGCTCAGTTTCTATTCCACCGCTCCGCTGGAAGAGACGAGGGCAAAGTAAGGTGGGATCTTCTCCATTCCCCATACAACCCCTTCCCCCCACACTGTCCAGCACCTACAATACCTGCAGGACAACCTTCCGAATTACTATAGCTAACGAATCAATGATTTAGAAATTGATGAACAATAGATTAAAGCATCTCTTTGGTCAACAGAGAGGCATATATAGGCGTATCAAAAGAGGGGATGGGCAGGTAAGAAAGCAATATATTCAGTTAAAGAGAGAAATTAAAAAAAAGGCATAAGAAAAGCAAAAAGGGATTATAAGGCTAAAGACACACACATACACACACACACACACACACACACACACACACACACACACACACACACACACACACACACACACACACACACACACTATATATATTTATATATATATATATATATATATATATATATATATATATATATATATATATATATTATACATATACACTGTTTATTAAAATATAAGGTGTTTAGTGAGGACACTCTCACTGGGAGACTTGTCTTTGTCATCGAGGTCTAGAAACTGCCGTCCACAGGAGTCAGCTGGAAGACTTGCTCATCCATGAAGACTTATGCGTATTTCACACTCGGTTGTTGTGAGGTCAGCCAGGCGCTACCAGCATCTCTCTATGTGTTCCTGTCCTTGCGTTCAACACCGTACACACACACACACACCTTACCTTTACCTTTGATGAGTTCCGAGAGTCTACTTCCGATTCCGTCTGGCGCTTGCCTGGTCAACCAGACTGTTGTTGCTGGTGGCCTTCAATCCCACAAACCCATCACAGCCTGGTTGGTCTGGCACTTGGTGAACATACTTTTCGAGTTTCCTCTTGAAGACTTCTACACTTGTCCCAAAAGTGTTCCCTTATTGTCCTCACCGCACCCGTGCTTTTTACTGGGTTTATTTTCCACTTCCTTCCATATCTCTCACTTCAGTATGCTGTTATGGCAGTGTATAGATTTAGGACAAGGCCGTCAAGTACTTTCCAGGTACATATTATCATGTTTCTCTCCGCTCCACTGAGTACATATTTGAGGCTTTAAGGCATTTCCAGTAATTTAAATGTTTTATTGATTCTATGCGGGCAGTAAACGACCTCTGTGTTTGTTCCAGCTCTGATATTTCTCCTGCCCTGAACGGGGCCGTCAACACTGAGCAAATGAGGGAGCACGAACGATTTGAAAAGTGTCACTATTGGTACCTTTTCCCTTGTTCTGAAGGTACTCATTACCCACCCTGTCATCCTCCTGGCTGTCGTGACCTTTGTCTTATTGTGTTCCTTTCGTTCTATTTGACAATCCTCTTGAGTTTTGTATAAAGTGTTCCTTTTGAGTTCCTCATTCTTTCCTCACCTAAACAGCTGGAACTTATCACCATTCAACGTTGTGTTCTCCACTGCACACTGGAAAACACTGTTTATATTCTTCTGTAATTTTTAAGTGTCTTCTATCGAAGTGACTTTCATGTTTATTTCTGTCATCTGCAAATGATGATACAAAACTGTGATAGGTGTTTTTATCTATGTCTCCTATGAGGATATGAAACAGCAGAGGTACCAGGACAGTGCTTTGGGAAACTGATGTTTTTACCTGGCTAATAAGAACATAAGAACATGAGGAACACTGCAGCAGGCCTGTTGGCCCATAATGCTGGTTTTTGCTCTGTTTACTACAATGTTTTGTGTTGTGTGTGTGTCAGGAACCCGAAAATCCATCTGTCCACCTTCCCTATGGTCCTCATTTTGTATGCAATCACTCCATGATCACATCTGTCAAACTCCTTTGCAAAATCTGTGTGAATCAAGTCTGCGTTTTGGTTGTCTTCCAACGCCTCCGTAATTCTGTCATAGTGGTTCAGCAGGTGTGACAAGCATGATCGTCCTGCTCTAAAACTATGCTGGTTTGGGTTTTGCCGATTGTAATGTTCCATGATATTTGTAATCCGCCATCTCATCACTCTTTAGAAGATTCCTATGATGTGGGAAGTTAGGGTTACTGGTCTGTAATTCTTTAGCTAGTACTCTACTACGTCCCTTGTGTAAAGGAGTATTGTCTGCACTCTTTAAGTCTCTGGTATTTCACCTAGATCTAAGCTCCTTTCCAAAGAATACTGAGAGCTGGTGCTAGTGAGTGGGCATGTTTTCAGTTTCTTTTTCTCGAATTCAATAGGACTAGTACTAATATTAGCTAGTTGGTCTGAGCGCCCTTCTGATGGAGTGAAAAATGCTTCTGCATTCTCTACTTTGCTGTATTTAGTGGGTTGCTGAACATCGACACACACACACACACACACACACACACACACACACACACACACACACACACACACACACACACACACCACACACACACACACACACATACACACACACACACACACACACACACACACACACACACACACACACACACACACACACACACACACACACACACACACACACCAGTACTATACTTCAGGTATTAATGAGCCCCAAGTATGCAGATGGGAGAGTTAACCCACCCCAGTATGCAGATGGGAGGGTTAACCCACCCCAGTATGCAGATGGGAAGGTTAACCCACCCCAGTATGCAGATGGGAGGGTTAACCCACCCTAGGATGCAGGTGGGAGGATTCACCCACCCCAGGATGCAGGTGGGAGGGTTCACCCATATGAACCAACTAAATATTTTTTATATTACTGTTCAATATCGGATGAATGACATTTACACATGACCTCGTAGGTCCACCTGACGTTATTTGAGGTGGTGTTAGGTTATCGAAGATCATCTAAGGTTACTAGACTTCACCTGACGATACCTGAGTTTACTTGAAGTCACCTGAGACATGTATTTCTCAGAGTATATATACACTGAGAGACTATATATATATATATATATATATATATATATATATATATATATATATATATATATATATAGGTTGGAGTTTCACGGATAGGTTCAGCAGGTTCCTGAAGTATGATTTACTCTACCTAAATCCATACTCATTTTACGTAATGAAGTTCATTCTTCGCAAGCGCTCCACCAATCTCTTTCTGATTAGCCTTTTCATCACACAGCGTAGTAAGTGTGTTAGCGAAACAGCCTGGTAATTTAGCAGCACACACACACATATATGTATATATATATATATATATATATATATATATATATATAATATATATATATATATATATATATATATATATATATATATATATATATATATATATATATATATATATACATATATTACAAAATTAAAATAATTGTCATTGTATTTATAAGACAGTGGTAAGAGTAGGTGGTGATAATGCGCCCGTGAGCGATGCACTGAAGGAAGATGAAGAAATTGTGGTGCGTTACTACATTACCACCGGAGATATTCCGCCGACAAAGTATGTTACAGAGTAATATAAACACTGGAAGGAGCTTCATTACACCCTGTGCTTCCTTCCAGCCATGATTAGTTTAGCTCTTGAATCTCTCAACAATGTGACTGAGGTAGAGAGTAGCTGGTGATGCGGTGCTGGTAACTCTGCTGGAGTCTGAGAGCTGGTGATAGTTGTAGTGATGGTGGTGACAGTTGTAGTGATGGTGGTGATAGTTATAGTGATAGTGGTGATGGTTGTAGTGATGGTGGTGATAGTTGTAGTGATAGTGGTGATAGTTGTAGTGATATTGGTGATGGTTGTAGTGATGGTGGGGATAGTTGTATAGTGATAGTGGTGATGGTTGTAGTGATGGTGGTGATAGTTGTAGTGGTGGTGGTGATAGTTGTAGTGATGGTGGTGATAGATATTGTGATAGTTGTTATAGTTGTAGTGATGGTGGTGATATGTGTAGTGCTGGAGGAATGTACCTCCAGGACCCACCTGACGGAGGAGTGTACCTCCAGGACCCACGTGACAGAGGAGTGTACCTCCAGGACCCACCTGACGGAGGAGTGTACCTCCATGACCCACCTGATGGAGGAGTGTACCTCCAAGACCCACCTGACTGAGGAGTGTACCTCCAGGACCCACCTGACGGAGGAGTGTACCTCCAGGACCCACCTGACGGAGAAGTGTGCCTCCAGGACCCTCCTTACCGAGGAGTGTAACCTCCAGGACCCACTTGACGGAGGAGTGTACCTCCAGGACCCACCTGACGGAGGAGTATAACTCCAGGACCCACCTGACGGAGGAGTGTACCTCCAGGACCCTCCTGACCGTGGAGTGTAACCTCCAGGACCCACTTGACGGAGGAGTGTACCTCCAGGACCCACCTGACG